TGACAAGACTTTTTATTTAAAGCACAAAATATCCTCGTGGTTCCAAAGAATCATGAGTAGATTATGAAAAATTATGAGTGGATGTGAAGACATTTTGTTAGAAATCTGGGCATGGATTAAAAATTTGTCAACTGATAACATCAACCTTGTCTCACTGTTTTTCAAAATAACATTGCCAAAAAGATAGGATTACTGCCGATGACATGCCATTTATCTTACTCCAAGTAACAGTGGCACTGTAGGTAACAGAACAAAGCTGAAACAAATGTCTCGATTATAAATATTACTTGGGGAAATTTGGTTCTTAAGAATAAACAGGAAACAGGATGATTTAAAAATATATTAAAATTCTATAGTAATAAAACCGGTATGGTACTGGTATAAAATAGACATATAGTCCAAAAAAGTAGAAGAGAACCCAGAAATAAACTCTTCTATACACGGTCACATGATAAGTGACAGGGATGCCAAGGGTACACAGTGAGGAAAGGATGGTCTCTTCAACAAATTATGTTAGGAAAATTGGCTATGTACATGCAAAAGGATGATTTTGGACCCTTAGCTTATACTCTATACAAAAATTAACACAAAATAGCTTAAAGATCTAGGACTTAAAACTGTAAAATTCCTAGAAGTATAGAAGTAGGTAATACCCAGAATTTAAAAGCATAATGGTTAAAAATGGTTATTTATAGAAATTATGTCTCAAAATAGAGACGTTTGAGGGAGGCAGATACTGCATTTCATTAAAAACCTGTACTGTTTTGTCCTTTCAATCTCATTTTTGTGTTACTTTGGACAATCCTGAATGAGCTGCACAGGTACCCCAGAACGTAAAGTATAATAAAAAAAAATTAAACTAGAACATCCTAACCATCCCCGACACTGAGCTCAGTAAAAAGAAGGCAGAAAGTAGAAGCTGATATAGATAAAGACAAAATATGTACTAGTCACAAAGAGGGACTGTGTTTACCCTGTAAGATTTCCTAGTCAAAACTGTCTCTTTAGGTTGACAATATATTTCACTAAAGCAATCAAGACTCAGCCTCTTTAACAAGAAAAGCAACATCTAGTCATGACAAAGAGACAATCTGTATATATGGGTCACAAACTATTCCATAGTTGTTCATATAGATTAACATAATGATTTTTGCTCCTTTTGGAGATACTATAGTTAAATCATTCACCTTTTGATTGAAAAAAAATAGCAAGTGTTCAAGACGATGTGAAGAAATTGGAACCCTTGTACACTGTTGGTGGGAATGTAAAATAGTAGAGCCCCTATGGAAAATACTATGAAGATCCTTTAAAAAATATTTTTAAAGTGCATCCATATGATCTATAAATCTCACATCTGCAAATATACCCAAAACAATTGAAAACAGGATCTTAAGGAGATATTTGCCCATCCAGATTCATTATACTCATTATATTCGTATTCACAATAGCCAAGAGGCAGAAGCAACCCAAGTATTCATTCATATATGAATGCATACCAAAAATGTGGCACATACATACAATGGAATATTATTCATACTTAAAAAAGAAGGAAATACTGTTAGACATAACAAAATTGGTGAACCTTGAGGACATTATACTAAATGCAATTAATATAATGCATTATACATTCAGAAATGCATTATAATGTATTATACTAATTACATATTGCATAGTATAATGCATTTAGTATAATTACACTTTACATTATACTAATATAGTATAACGCATTATATAGTCACAGAAAATAAAGACTACATAATTTCAGTTATACGTATTTACAGTAGTCAAACTCTTAGAACGGGTAGTAAAATGGTGGTTTCCAGGGACTAAGGGAAAGTGGAAAAGAATTCAATTGAAAGAGCTTCCATTAGAGTCTCCATTATAGAGTTTGTTTTGCAAGACGTAAAAGTTTTAGAGATGTATTATATGATAAGGTACATATTGTTAATACTAAAGTACTGTATATGTAAAAATTGTTACAATGTTTAAGAAAACAAGAAACAGGAAGGGGAGGAATAAGCAAGAAGAATCAACAGGAATGGTAAAATAAGAACAAGTTTAAGCAAGTGGAAGAAAATAAAAATTACAGTACAAATAAATGAAATTGAAAAGAATAGATAAACGGATAAACTATTACACACATCCAAAAGAATGTTATTCAGCAATTAAAAATGAGCTGACAAGCCACAAAAAGGCATGCATGAACTTTAAATGCATCCAGTTAGTGAAACATGTCCATCTGAAAAGGCTACATACTGCACAATTGCAACGTATAACATTATGGGCAAAGCAAAACTATAAAGACAGCAAGAAAAATCAGGAGTTTCCAGAAGTGGCATGGGTTGGGGGAGGGAGGAGAATGAGATAGGTGGAGCACAAGGAATTTTCTAGAGCAGTGAAATTATTTGTGATGCTGTAATGGTGGATACATGACAGTAGACATTTGCCAAAACCCACAGACCTTTAGAGCACAAAGAGTGAACCTTAATTTATGGAATTTTAAAAATGATTTAGAACATAGGGGGATCCCAGAAAATATGGACTATAACAAGATAATCTACTTGTATTGCAAATGTATGAAACAACTTTGCTGAATGCGATAGGGAAAAAGTACTGACCTAAATGAGTCTCGAAATGAGTGGAGTCTGTAATACTAAAGGCCAAAGGAACTACACATGTATTCTAACTGATAAAAATGTTTCCCACATGAGTACAGGGGCATGGAGTAACAATTCTGGTACTATTATACATGTATATTGGAATTGAACAATTAAGTAAATGGACGGTGGATAGTGGGGGCCAGATTTGTTACCATTGGGGTGGGAGTGTATAAAATAAGCAAAGGGGGTAGCTTAGAATGATGCATGTGTCATGGATTAAAGTTGGATGTATTACTATGAGAACCCATGTTTAGCTTTATATAGATACAGATGGTTACATACAGAAATATTTATAGATACATGTATATACATGAGTTAGTATATGCACATGTATTTCCTTGCTCTGTAAGCTGAGAGTACCCAAAAGCAATGACACCCCAGTAGCAATCAACACACCTAGCACACAGATCTTCATTTCTAATACCATTCTCTGATAAAAAGGAACTAGGTTCCTTGGAGATATTCTGTATGATAATGAATTTTAGGATGGGCAAGAGCATTCCAGGATGAGCTGGAAGCATCTTGTAGTGTCAAAAAGTAAAGAAGTGCTCACTTTAAAAAATACCCACATTAATAGGAATAATTCAGAGGTACACAAGAGATTACTGAAACAGCTCCCAGTTGCCAAAGCTGGGAAATTTTGAGCAAAAATAAATAAAATAATATTCAATTATAATGCAAAGTATAAATAGTAATGTACTTACACTGATATACATGAAAGACTGAGTAAGTAAATCCTTAGGGTGAAGAGAAAATGCTCCCATACAAAAGAATACCAAATAATTTATGTAGATACTCCATTCTCAGTGTTTTAGAATATAACATTTAATTCCTTCAGCGTGAGCTCTTTATAGTAACTTGAAATAGGATGAAACGTAAGGATGGTACCTTGTTAAGGATGTGGGGAAATTGGTACCCTCATACATTGCTGGTGAGAATGTAAAATTATCCAGCCTCTCTGGAAAATGGTTTGTCAATTGTCAAAAGTTGGAGGGCTCAGAAGAAGACAGGAGGATGTAGGAAAGTTTGGAACTTCCTAGAGACTTACTAAGTTGTTGTGACCAAAATGCTGATACTGATATGAACAATCAAGTCCAGGCTGAAGTGGTCTCAGATGGAGATGAGGAACTTACGGGAAACTTGAATGAAGCTTACTTTTGTCATGCATTAACAAAGAGGTTGGAGGTATCTTGTAGTGCTGAAAAATTAAGAAGACATCTGTGAAAGTTCAAACTTGAAAGAGATGATTTAAAGTAAGTGGCAGAAGAACTTTCTAAGCAGCAAACCATTCAACATGTGGCCTGGCTTCTTTTAACAGTGTATGCTCATATGCATGAGCAAAGAGATTATGTGAAACCAGAACATATTTAAAAGGAAAAGTTTAGAAAATTTGCAGCCTGACTATGTGTTAGAAAAGAAAACCCCATTCTCTTGGGAGGAATTCAGGTAGGCCACAGAAATTTGCATAACTAAAGAGGAGTCAAATATTGAAAGCCAAGGTAATGCGGAAATAACCTTGAAGACATTTCAGAGACCTTCTTGGCAGCCCCTCCGATAACAAGCCTAGAGGGCTAAGAGGAAAGAATGGTTTTCTGGGCCAGGCGTAGGGTCCTACTGCTCTGTGCTGCCTCAGGACATGGTACCCTTCATCACGGTTGCTCTAGCTTCAGCAGTGGCTAAAATGGGCCAAGGTACAGCTCAGACCATGACTTCAGAGAGTGCAAATTGTAAGCCTTGGTGGCTTCCACTTGGTGTTAAACCTGTGGGTACAAAGAAGTCAAGAACTGAGGTTTGGGAACCTCTGTCTAAATTTCAGAGAACGTATGGAAATGTCTACATGCCCAGGCAGAAATTTCTTGCAAGGGCATAGTTCTTACAGAGAACCTGTACTAGGGTAGGGCAGAACAGAGGGGAAATGTGGGGTTGGAGTCCCCACACAGAGTCACCACTGGGGCACTGTCTAGTGGAGCTGTGAGAAGAAGGCCACCATCCTCCAAGACCCCAGAATGGTAGATCCACTGATGGCTTGCACTGTGTACCTGGAAAAGCTGTGGGCACTCAACACCAGCCCTTGACAGCAGTCACAGGAGCTGAGCCCTGCAGAGCCACAGGGGCAGAGCTGCCCAAGGCCTTGGGAGCCTAGTCTTTGTATCAGTGTAACCTGGATGGGAGACGTGGAGTCAAAAGAGATTATTTTTGAGTTTTAAGATTTAATGAATGCCCTGCTGGGTTTCAGACTTGCATGGAGCCTGTAGCCTCTTTGTTTTGGTTGATTTAACCCTTTCAGAATGGGTGTATTTACCGAAAGCCTATACACCCGCATTGTATCTTGGAAGTAACTATCTCGTTTTTGATTTTACAGTCTCATTGGTGGAAGACACTTGCCATGTCTTAGATGAAACTTTGGACTTGGACTCTTGAGTTAATGCTGGAATGAGTTAAGACTTTGGGGGACTGTTGGGAAGGCATGATTGTGTTTTGAAATTTAAGAAGGACATGAAATTTGGAAGGGTGCAGGGGCAGAATGATATGGTTTGGCTCTGTGTCCCCACCCAAATTTCATGTTGAATTGTAATCCCCACCTGTCAGGGGAGGGGCCTGGTGGGAGGTGATTGGATCAAGGGAGCAGATTTCCCTTTTGCTGTTCTCATGATAGAGAATGAGTTCTCACAGGATCTGGCTGTGGAGGGTTTTTGCATCTAGTAAAGAAAGTGCTCTATCCTTGGGTGCAACAAGGTCGGGTTAATCAATCATCTTCCCCTGTAATGGGATAATCTGCAACAAAAATTGAACTGGTAGTTCAGTTCTCAGGCAAGTTGACAAAACTGTAAGTCAATGCCCCTGCTAACAAAAAAACAACCAATGTGCTTTCAAGGATGCTATTATTTTTATATAACACAGGCCATGAAAAATGCAAGATGTACACTGGAGATGTCTCATAGGCCAATTCCAAAGCAGATGATGATGGAACGTCCAGACAAATTTTGGAATGAACATTAAAAAGACCCATATCCCACCTCCTTTAGCTGTAGCTCTGGGAGACAGAAAGCCTCACAGAGATATCTTAAGCCATCATGGCTTGGGAAAGGATAAGAAAGATGTATTCATGGGTCCCCCAGGCAGATGGGCCTCACAGAATCACCATGGATCCCTATGCTATGTGGGAAACAGTTCAATACAAACCCTCCAAAAAGTCTGGGATTATGTTAAATGACCAAACCTAAGAATAATCAGTATACTTGAGGAAGAAGAGAATTCTAAAAGCCAGGAAAACATATTTGGAGGAATAACTGAGGAAAACTTCCCCAGCCTTGCAAGAGACCTAGAGAGCCAAATGCAAGAAGCACAAAGAACACCTGGGAAATTCATCACAAAAAGATCATCACCTAGGCACATTGTCATCAGGTTATCCAAAGGTAGGACAAAAGAAACAATCTTAAGAGCTTTGAGACAGAAACACCAGGTAATCTATAAAGGAAAACCTATCAGATTAACGGCATATTTCTCAGCAGAAACTCTACAAGCTAGAAGGGATTGTGGACCAATCTTCAGCATCCTTAAGCAAAACAATTATCAGCCAAGAATTTTGTATGCAGAGAAACTAAGCATCATATATGAAGGAGAAATATAGTCATTTCCTGACAAACAAATGCTGACAGAATTTGCTATTACCAAACCACCACTACAAGAACTGCTAAAAGGAACTCTAAATCTTGAAACAAATCCTGGAAACACATCAAAACAGAACCTCTTTAAAGCGTAAATCGCACAGGACCTATAAAACAAAAATACAAGTTAAAAATAAAAAATAAAATGAAAGTACTCAGGGAATGAAGAGCATGATGAAAGCAATGATACCTCACATTTTAATACTAACAATGAATGTAAATGGCCTAAATACTCCATTTAAAAGATACATAATCACAGAATGGGTAAGAACTCACCAACCGTTGCCTTCAGGAGACCACCTAATGCATAAAGACCCACAAAAACTTAGAGTAAAGGGGTGGAAAAAGACATTTCATGCAAATGTACACCAAAAGGGAACAGGGGTAGCTAGTTTTGTATCAGGCAAACCAAACTTTAAAGCAACATTAGTTAAAGGAGACAAGGGGAGACGGTATATAATGGTAAAATACCTTGTCAAACAGGAAAATATCACAATCCTAAACATATATGCACCTAATACTAGAGCTCCAAGTTTATAAAACAATGGCTAATAGACCTAGGAAATGAGATAGATACCAACAAAATAGTAGTGGGGGACTTCAATGCTCCACTGACAGCACTAGACAGGTCATCAAGACTGAAAGTCAACAAAGAAACAATGCGTTTAAACTATACCTTGGAACAAATGGACTTAACAGATGTACAAAACATTTCATCCAACAAATGCAGAATACACGTTCTATTCAACAGCACATGGAACTTTCTCCAAGATGGACCATATGTTAGGATATAAAATGAGCCTCAGTGCATTTCAGAAAATTGAAATTATATCAAGCACTCTCTGAGACCACAGTGGAGTAACACTGGAAATCAACTCCAAAAGGAGGCTTCAAAATCATACAAATACATGTAAATTAAATAACCTGCTCCTAGATGAGCACTGGGTCAAAAACAAAATCAAGATGGAAATTTAAAAATTCTTTGAACTGAATGACAATGACACAGCCTATCTAAACCTCTGGGATACAGCAAATGTGGTGCTAGGAGAAAAGATCATAGCCCTAAACACTTACATCAAAATGTCTGAAAGAGCACAAGCACAAACAGACAATCTAAGGTAACACCTCAAAGAACTAGAGAAACAAGAACAAACCAAACCAAAACCCAACAAAAGAAAGGAAATAACCAAGATCAGAGCAGAAATAAATGAAATTGAAACAAAAAAAATACAAAAGATAAGTGAAACAAAACTGGTTCTTTGAAATAATAAATAAAATTTATAAACAATTGGTAGGAATAACCAAGAAAAGGGAGAAAATACAAATAACCTCACTGAGAAACAAAACAGGAGATACTACAACTGACACCACTGAAATACAAAAGATCATTCAAGGCTATTATGAACACCTTTAACATATAAACTAGAAATCCTAGAAGAGATAGATAAATTCCTGGAAATATACAACCCACCTAGCTTGAATCAGGAATAATTAGATGTCCTGAACAGACCAAAAACAAGAAATGAGATTGAAATGGTAATTTTAAAATTACTAACAAAAAATGTCCAGGACCAGATGGATTCACAGCAGAATTCTACCAGACATTCAAAGAATTAGTACCAATCCTTTTGACAATATTCCACAAGACACAGAAAGAGGGAATCCTCTTTATTCATTCTATGAAGTCATCATCACCCTACTACCAAAACTAGGAAAAGGACATAACCAAAAAAGAAAACTACATACCAATGTTCTTGATGAACATAAATGCCAAAATCCTTAAAAAAACACCAGCCAACCAAATCCAGTAACATATTGAAAAGATAATCCACCATGATCAAATGGTTTCATATTAGGGATAAAGGAATGGTTTAACATACACAATAATTGTGATACACCGCATAAACAAAATCACATGATTATCTCAATAGATGCTGAGAAGACAATTGACAAAATCCAGCAACCCTATATGATTAAAACTCTCAGCAAAATCAACATACAAGGGGCATATCTTAATGTAATAAAAGCTATCTATGACAAACATCTTTTGTTTTGTCATCTTTTTGATGGCTTTTGTTGAAAGCCATTTTTCAACAAAAGTTGAAAGCATTCCCTCTGAGAACTGGAACAAGATAAGATGCCCACTCTCACCACTCCTCTTCAACATAGCACTGGAAGTCCCAGCCAGAGCAATCAGACAAGAGAAAGAAATAAATGGCATCCAAACTGGTAAAGAGGAATTCAAACTGTCACTGTTTGTTGACGATACGATAGTTCACCTTAAATGTAAGGACTTTTCCAGAAAGCTCCTATAAATAATAAAAGAATTCAGCAAAGTTTCCCAGATACAAGATTAATGTACACAAATCAGTAGCTCTTCTTTACACCAACAGTAACCAAGCAGAGAATCAAATCAAGAACTCAACCCCTTTTACAATAGCTGTAAAAATAAAATACTTCAGGATGTACCTAACAAAGGAAGTGAAAGACCGCTACAAGGAAAACTACAAAACACTGCTGCAATAAATCATAGATGACACAAACAAGTGGAATTACATCCCACGCTCATGAATGGGTAGAATCAATATTGTGAAAATGCCCATACTGTCAAAAGCAATCTACAAATTCAACTCAATCCCTAGCAGAATACCACCATCATTCTTCACAGAATTAGAAAAAACAATTCTAAAATTCATATGGAACCAACAAAGAGTCCATATAGTCAAAGCAAGACTAAGCACAAAGAACAAATCACACTACCTGTGACTTCAAACTATACTTTAAGGCCATAGTCATCAAAACAGTGTGGTACTGGTATAAATATAGGCACACAGGCCAATGGAATAGAATAGAGAACCAATAAATAAACCCAAATACTTACAGCCAACTGATCTTCGACAAAGCAAATGAAAACATATAGTGGGGTAAGGATACCCTTTCAACAAATGATGCTAGGATAATTGGCTAGCCACATGTAAGAGAATGAAACTGGATTCTCATCTCTTACCTTACACAAAAATCAACTCGAGATGGGTTAAGGACTTAAAACCTAAGACCTGAAACTATAAAAATTCTAGAAGATAACATCAGAAAAACCCTTCTAGACCTTGGCTTAGGCAAGGATTTCATGGCCAAGAACCCAAAACATATGCAACAAAAACAAACATAAACAGGACTTAATTAAACTAAAGAGCTTCTGCATGGCAAAAAGCAACAGTCCACAGAGTCAACAGACAACCCACAGAGTGGGAGAAAATCTTTACAATCTATACATCTGACAAAGGACTAGTATCCAGCATCTATGATGAACTCAAATCAGTAAGAAAAAAAATCCCATCAAAAAGTAGGCTTAGGACATGAATAGTCAACTCTCAAAAGAAGGTATACAAATGCCCAACAAACATATGAAAAAATGCCCAACACCACTAATGATCAGGGAAATGCAAATCAAAATCACAATGCGATACCACCTTCCTCCTACAAGAATGGCCATAATCACAAAATCACAGAACAGTAGATGTTGATGTAGATGCAGTGAATAAGGAACACTTCTATACTGCTGGTGGAAATGTAACCTAGTACAGCCACTATGGAAAACAGCGTGCAGATTACCTAAAGAACTAAAGGTAGAGCTACTGTTTGATCCAGTAATCCCACTATTGGGTATCTACCCAGAGGAAAAGAAGTCGTTATTCAAGAAAGATACTTGCATACGCATGTTTATAGCAGCACAATTTGCAATTGCAAAATCGTAGAACCAATCATCAATCAATGAGTGGATAAAGAACTGTGATGCGCACGCGCGCACACACACACACACACACACACACACACACACACAATGGAATACTACACAGCCATTAAAAGGAATGAATTAACAGTATTTGCAGTGATCTGGATGAGATTGGAGTCTATTATTCTAAGTGATGTATCTCAGGAATGGAAAACCAAACATCTTATTTTCTCACCGATATGTGGGAAATAAGCTATGAGGATGCAAAGGTGTAAGAATGATACAATGGACTTTGGGAACTTGGGGGGAAGAGTGGGAGCGGGGGAAGAGATAAAAGAGTACCAATATGGTGCAGTGTATACATAGGTGATGGGTGTACCAAAATCTCACAAATCACCACTAAAGAACTTAGTTATGTAACCAAATACCACCTGTGCCCCAATAACTTTTGGAAAAATAAAATAAATAGCACAGAGGTACAATTAAAAAAATGACATGCACCTTCCAGAGGAAAAGAAGCACTTATCAACTATCCTTCATGCCCCATGAGTCAAAGTTCTGTCCCATTGAGCATTAATTCATCCCTATTTCCCTGCTGTGTTTGCATGGGCTGAGTGATTTCTCAGGCATTCCACACTTCAGCATCAATAAGGCAAGAAATGCTATTGGGCTGTACCTGTGAAGCAAGTGCCAAATGGCTCACCTCAGTAGTAGCTGAAATAGCAATAGGATCTGAAGGGATGCATAAGAGGTGTCAGATACACTTAAGTGAGCACAACACACCTAAGTACTATTCTGTAGAGAAGGTGGGGAGAAGAATGCTAAATTGAGTGCGTATTCATTCCAAATCAGCTGTAAAATCGTGAGGTTACAAAATTGACTTTGAAGAGTAAGATTATGGTTTTTCTTTTATTTTGAAGCTGAGAGGGTATTCAAATAGAGATGAAATTGACATAAACAAAAATTATTACACTACTTTAACATTAGATTTTAGTGACCTATAAAATTCATCTCTACCAAGCATGCATTTAACTATATGTATTCAACAAATATTTATTGAGTGCCTACTACATGCTAGCCCATATACACGGTGTCACAAGAATATAAAGATGAGTAGAACTCACTCCTTATTCTCAATGCTCACAGCCTATCAAGGAGTAAGACAGCTATAAGCCCAACTGCAATTCAAACAGGAAGAGCTAGATGTCTGCGTTATCATAACGTAATCCTACTCACTTCTGGGCCTCAGAGCCTCATCAGTAAAATGAAAGGTTAAAATTGCTACCTCTGAAGTATCTTCCCTCATTGATACTATGTGAGCCTCTAAATGTCACACAAAACCAGATAATCCCAGTACAGAAACTATGTTGGTTGGTTCAAATCATGTTCCCCACCTTTCTCTTAACAGGGGAAATTGTTTCAGAGAAAACAGGATGGGAATGTGTTAATCATCATGCTCACTTGTATAAAACAAAGCCTAATTGACATTAAAACAGTTTCTGACCTCATGCGGAGGAGCAAAAGAAAAGCTGCTTTTGCAGCTTTTTTGGATTTGGCAACCAAATCCAACATTCTGTATATAATACTGTCATAAACAACTGTAAAGTATCTTTAATGGTTAAAAAAACACAAGCACAATGGGTTGCTAACCACAATATTTAGTAACTGCCTGTCTACTTATCTTAACCATTGGATACCCAAGTAAACTTCTCTGTTCAGTCAAAAGTTCCCATTCCTGCTCTACGATTTTAACCCCACCCTTTCTTTTCCCAAATTCCACCTACAGTAACCAGCTTTTTGTGATTTTTTCTGGTTGAGGAATGAACTCTCACACCGTCCTCGATGCAAATCTGGATAGCCTATCACTTACGCTGTGTGGCCTTAGGAAAGTTGCCTAAGCTCTTAATTTCAGGTTTCCTCTTCCATAAAATGGAAGTAATAGTATCTGCCTCAAAAAAATTGTTGTATGACATAATTAGAATCCATATGAAAATTGCCTAATAAATAGAAGTAATTTTAAAATGATAGCAATAATTTGAACTGATTGAAAACTGTCTAGGACTGAAGTCATACGTTGGGAAAACTGAACAAAGGAACAGAAAAATCACTGATCTTGAAAATACCCTGTCCACCTAATAACCAGGAGGTGTTCTCACCTTTTTCTTTCATTGACCCTATGTATTTTAATTTATAGGAAGGGGCTAGAAGACAAAAGATGCTTTCTTCATGTCTAGCTCAATGCTACCCAGATTTTAATGTACTTAGGTATTACCTGGGGATCTTATTAATGTACTTAAGTATTACCTGGGGATCTCAGACTCAGTAGGTCTGAGGTGGGACCTGACATTCTGCATTTCCAACAAGCTCCCAGATGATGCTGATGCTGCTGGTCCATGGAAACAGGGAGGAGTTAATCATCAGTGGGTGAAACATTGACAGATCTCTTACATGAAAGGTATGTGGAAGTGGATAAATTGCTAACCGCCAAAGGATCAGTTTTGGCTACCTTGTAACATGTTCATGAGTGACCCAATATTACTCTTTAGAATATGATAGTAGTTTTCAATACTTGGGTACAGACTCAATAAAAGTTTGTGGAATCAATAAACGAAGGCATAACAACTCATATTTTAAAAATTCAGATGGACCACAAATTTAAATAAAATAAAACCATGAAAGGATTAGAAGAAAAGGTGGAGGAACACTTATTTTGTAATCCTATAGCTAACCCTAAGCATGACACAAAATTCAGAAGCTCTAAGATATACTTTGACTCAATCAAATTTTACAATAGCTACATAAAAATTATAAAATGAACTAAGTGAAACTCAAATGGCAAACATGTTTTAAAAGTTTTAACAGAGATGATGGAGTTCTAACTATTACATAAAGTATCCCTACAAATAAAAAATATTTTAATACAAAAATGAGTATAGGATATAAACAGTGACAAATCTCATGTTGAATTGTGGTCCCCAGTGCTGGAGGTGGGGCCTGGTAGGAGGCCCAGAGGCCTGGGAGGGAATAGCAGTTTTGTGGGACAGGTCCAGGGCCCCACTGCCCTGTGCAGCTCTGGGACACTGCTCTCCACCTCCCAGCTGTTCCAGCCTTGACTCAAAGGGCCGCAGATATTGCTCATGCAACTGCTCCAGAGAGCATGAGCCACTATAAGCGTTAGCAGCTTCCATGTGGTATTAAGGCTTCAGGTGTACAGAGCACAAGAGTGAATGAGGCTTGGAACCTTCTACCTAGATTTCAGAAGATGAAAAAGCCTGGGTTCTCAGGCATAAGCCTGCTGCAGGGGGGGACCCCCCCCCAGGAAACCTCTACTAGCACACTAATAAAAAGAAATGTGAGGTTGGAGCACCCACAGAGTACTCACTGGGGCACTGCCTATTGAAGCTCTGAGAAGGAGGCCGCCGCCTTCCAGACTTGAGAACGGTAGATCCACTGGTAGTCACACCCTGTGCATGGAAAAGCCACAGGGACTCAGTATCGGTGACAGGAACCTTGGGGGTTGAACCCTGCAAAGTCACGTGGATTGAGTACAAGGCCTTCTGAGCCCACCCCGTGGACCAGTGTACCCTGGATGTGGGACATGGAGTCAAAGGAAATTATTTTGGAGCTTTAAGATTTAATGACTGCCATGCTGGGTTTTGAACTTGCATGGGGCCATAGACCCTTACTTTAGGCCAATTTTTTCTCAAAATGGGAATGTTTAGCTAATGTCTATACCCCCATTGTCTCTTTGAAGGAACTAACTTGTTTTTGATTATACAAGCTCATAGGTGGCATGGATTTGCCTTGTCTCAGATGAGACTTTGGACTTTTGAGTTCATGCTAGAATAAGCTAAGACTTTGAGGGACTGTTAGGCATCATTGTATTTTGAAATGTGAGAATGACATGAGATTTGGAAGGGGCCATGGGCTGAGTGATACAGTTTGTATATTTGTCCCACCCAAATTTCATGTTGAATTGCAATCCCCATTGCTGGAGGTGGGGCTTGGCAGGAGGTGTTTAGATCATGGGGTTGGATCCGTCATGGCTTGGTGCTGCCTTCATGATAGTTATGTTCTTGGGAGATCTGGTCATTTAAAAGTTTGTGACACATACTCTGCATTCTCTCTCTCTCTCTTGCTCCTACTTTTTTCTGTTTGATGTGTCTGCGCCCTCTTAGCCTTCCACCATAATTGTAAGCTCCCTGAGGCCTTTCCAGAAGCCAAGGAGATGTTGACATCATGCTTCCTATAAAGCCTGCAAATTTTTGAGTCATTTTCTTCATGAATTACTCAGTTTCAGGTATTTCTTTATAGCAATTCAAGAATGGCCTAACACAAACAGAGAATTCATAGACTAGGAAATACTAAAAGATTTTAAACATATAAAAAAAAATTGAGCCTCATATATTATGAAAGACAGGTAAAATAGTAACTACTAAATGCTACGTTTTCCTATTGAATTAGCAAAGATCAAAAGCTTAAATACTTTGAAATTTACCAACTTAATTAATCATTCATATTTTTACTAATATAATTTGAATGAATGCCCCAAATTCTCTCATACAACATGGAATTTATCCATATTTGAGGTGTATCTTCAGTTCTGTCAATGTTGTACAGAGTGAGGGAAAGAGTCTCAAAAATTGTTGGTATGAATGCAAATTGCTAGAGCTTATACAGGAGGAATTTGGCAATATTGATAAATATTAAAAATGCCACCAACCATATGACCCATCAATTCCACTGCTTGGCACTTTTCCCACAGATATAGTCACATACATATACAAAGAGATTGTATATGGCTATTCAATAAATATTGTAATAACGAAGACTCAAAATAACCTAAATGTTCATCAATAGGGGACTGGTTCAAAAAGCAGACTAAGATACTACAGGTAGCTCATATAGATAGCTCTATATGCACAAAAAATGGAATAACCTCCAAGTAATATTTTTCAGTCAAATATATATATATTTATATATTTCTCTTCTCTCTATATATATAAAATGTACAGAGAAATATATATCTATATTTATATATATCTATATATGTTTCTAAATATATGTTTATATATTATATCTAAATATATATCTATATATCTAAATATATATCTATATAGAGAGAGTGTGTGCAGGTGTGAGAGAGAGAGAGATGTGTGAATGTCTTGCATACTAAAAAACAATGGGGAAAACGATGAATGAGATTGTTTAAGCAAGTGGAAGCTCACATGGCCCTGAATAATCAAATTTCATGCCACAGCATAATTATGACTTAGAAAATTTCACTGAAGTATCTTAGATAATACCAATTATTTTTAAGCAAAATTTAATAATATAAATTACTGGCTCTGGGTAAAATTACTGACACATACTCCTAATTTTTGAGGGTTAATCAAACT